CACTGCTACAATCTTTTCTTTGTCAGTAATACATCTTTAAATGGCTTTGATTTTCACTTCTATGCGTATCAGTCCCAAATCTGTACCTCTAATCTGGATAGTCTTTCCTCTGAGAGATCCCACATTTCAAAACACCAGCTGTATACTGACACATTATGTCCCCACACCTAAAACTCATGTTTCAAACAACTCTTCATTTTAAAACCTGTCTTTCTTAAATATCACATTTCTGTTATATTGTAATATCAACAGATGATAAGCCTTTGCCACCAAGACTTGAAAACCTGGAGTAATTCTTGTATATTCCATCTCTCCTAATTGCCAAATTTCCTAATCCTTCATGCACAAAAAAAAATCTACTTTCCATCCCTCCTTTCCATTTGCATGACAGATCACCCCTGATCAGGTTTTCTCATTACCGCCCTCCTGAATATTATTTGACTCTTATCTCCTTCTCCCTTCTGCAGTTCATCCTTGCTAACTCTGCCAAAGTAAGCTTCCTAAAATAGAAGTCAGGAACTATCTTTTGCTTCTTTTGTATCTCCAGAGCTCAGTAGAATGTCTGGCTCACAATAAGTGCTTAAAATATGTGACTGCCATGCTCCATGTTCTTCAGTATCTCCCCATTGTCTTTAATTTTTGCTTTCAAAGAATCCATGATTTTATCAATGTAAATGTTCTCTCAACTAGTGCAGATCATATCTGACCCATGTCTTTTCTTCCTGTGAAAATTTTGTTCATCCCCTCCCATAAATTCTCCATAGGGAATCTATCCATCATATTAGAAATCTTCTAGACCTTTTGCTATTTTGTGCTTACAAGGGCAACATTCAGGCTGTTGAAAAAGAAATCAGCTCTTTTTGATTACTTTGATTTATTTTTAGTTTGATTATAGCATTAAACACTCTTCTTTAAGAAAAAGCATCTTAAGGGACTGGGATAAGCCTCTTGTGGAAGGTGGGCCCTTTTTTTTTTTTTGGCTAGGCAATGGTTTTATGTGACTTGCCCAGGGTCACACAGCTAGTGAGTGTCAAGTGTCTGAGGCTGGATTTGAACTCCAGTCTTCCTGACTCCAAGGCCAATGCTCTATCCACTGCACCACCTAGCTGCTCCTCCTTTAGCTGAGTTTTAAAGGAAGCCAAGGAAACCAATGGTGGAGAGGAGGGGGTACCACATTCCAGGGATAGAAAGACAACCAGCACAAAAGCACAGCAATGAGATGGAGGGTGTGCTCAAGAACTATGAGTAGGCCAGTGTAGTTAGATTATAGAGTATATGGAAGGGAATAAAGTGAGAGGAGATTGAAAAGGTAGAAAGGGGCCACATTATGAAGGGCTTTAAATGCCAGACAAAGGACTTTATATATTGTATTGTAGAGGAAACAGGGAGTTATTGGATCTCATTGTGGGGAGTGATAGGGTTTGACATGACTGTATCTATGTTTCAGAAGGCAGCTGAGTGGATAAATGGAGGATGGATTGGAATGGGGAGAGATGAAGTAGAGAGAACAGTCATGTGGTAACTTCATATGATAATTTAATAAATAGCCTGGCCTTTACAGTCTTATTTTATTTTCATAATCTAGCTGAAGCGTATCCACTCAATGAAGGCTCCCCTGATTCCCCTATTTGGAAGCAACAGCTCCTCCTTTGAATCTTCCAGGCTATGTTTGACCTCTCGTATGCACTTAATCATTTTGTGACTTTTATTATTATCATTTGTATAAGTTTTGTCTCATCTCCCTACTATACTATAATTTTCTTTAGGGCAGTGATCATATACTTTGTCATTTTTGTATCCTCAGTATCTAGCACAACTAGTCTTATTGACCAGCCAGTGAGGTAATATGTGTTGAGTTTGAACTTGATAACTCTACATGATTAGAGTTTTATCATAAGAGATAGTTCTCTAGATTTTATCAGGAGAGGTAGTTCTCTAGATGATATTGATGGTTCATTTGCCTGTCTTTCTGTTCTCAAATACCAAGGCCACCAGTTTAGGCCAGGAGTGCTCACTTTAGAGATGTGCTTATGTATCACAATAATGACATTTCTAAAATTTTTGGATAGGAGTGATTTTTTGCATATGGTTTAGAACATAGGACACGATATTATAAGGCCTCATGTTGCGTATTTTATCTTGTTCTGTTCATTTTATAAAGTAGAGAGTCAAAGGTGGGGAGCCTGTGGCCCTCTAGGTCCTCAGGTGAGGTCCTTTGATTAAATCCAAACTCCACAGAACAAATCTCCTTAATAAAAAGATTTGTTCTGTAGAACTTGGACTCCATCAGAAAGCCACAGGTCTCCCACCCCTGAGCTAGATTCTTCCTCGTTATTCTCATCTCTACTAATTAATTTGGAATAGAAATCAAAAGCATGAAGCTTCCATTATCTAAGTTATACCACTGTTAAGACAGGTAAGAACACTCTCATACTCTCTTAGGATGGATGAGATACTTAGTGTGGTATTGTGTTGTTGATGTATATGATGATGATGATGCTAATGTAAACATTTCTAGGCCTCTAAGGCCAGAGGCTGCATACATTTAGGAAATATATTATTATAATAGCTCATTAAAATAGCTCTTTGAAGTTTACATAATATTTCCTCACAACAACCTGGTTAGATAGGTAGTACAAGAATTATTATCCTTATTTTATCTGTTCTATTCAAAATTAAATGCGTACTATGCACAGATTCTCTTCAAGATGACAAAATAAGTAGAGGCAGAATAACTTGGCTTCCTCACTCCATCAAGGGTTTTTAAAAAATAAAATAAAAAAGAATATTGGAGAGGGAAATGATCAAGAAATTCAAGGAGAAACTATAGTAAGAGCATTTTGCTAACTCATGTTCTCCGAGATAGCCAGGAGGTTATGGGCATTAGTGCCTAGAGAGAAGATCCCAGCTGGAGAGTGCAGCTCTTCCCTAGCTGTTCAGCCTAAAGGGGAAAAATTCTATTCTTTACATCTGTAAAGAACTTCCAATTTTTTTCAAAACATATTCACTACATCATTTCCATTTTATGCAAATAACAATCCTGTGAATTACATAGGTAAAGTATTATTTACCACTTTTTATATCTGAAAATATTGAGACATAGATAAGTGTTAAATTACAAAATTAGCAATAACTGAAACCTCTCAATTTTCCCCCCATAAAGCACATATGTTTTCTTTCTTGTGGAAATTACAACTCAAGCAATGCTTTACAGACCCTTAAAATGAAAAGTGCTATTTTCAGGGTACAAGCCAGGGCATTTTGGGGCCATCCAGCAACATTTTTGTTAAAAGAATTCTGTTCTGTAATCAATACCTAATAGCTACATTACTGTGTATTTACAATACTGTTTAATTATCTTAGACAATAAAGACCTATCTTTGGGGATAATAGAATACAATGAACCTTCATTAAAGACCTATTTCATTAGGTCTTCATTAAAGACCTATCTTGGCACAGAGATAAGCAAGGGTTCTAGAAAACTATGCAGGATGAATGCAAGTTCTGGCAGATCCTACTAAACTGGAAGGCCTTTGAGTATGGGCTCATTAATTGACTATTTGCCTTAGGCCTGAGGACCTGCCTAGTTAAATTTAAAAAATCTCAACACCTAGCTGACTGCAGGATAATAAATTTGTAAGTCATGCCATTTCTCAAAGACCATCTACTAAGTTAGGAAGCAATTGAGATCTCTGCCAGTGGAGGGAATATCCAGATCAATAAAAACCAGTGAAGTAAGTAAATATAATGAAAAACATAGTATGGAGAGTAAAAATATGTGGTTAAGGGGAAGATAAGAAACTGTGTTTGAGAACATTTGCTATATGACAAAATTATTCTGTTAGAAAATGTAAGAAGCAAGTTTTACTGAATGAATAACAGGTTATGTTTTTATTTTACAAAGACAAAATATATTTTAATATGGAACATATTTTCCTTTGGTCATCTTAAAGAGGTTGTAGGATGGGGAAAATGTCCATCTTTGTAGAGATCACAAAGATTATCACCTTTCAAAGTATCTGAATAATTAAAACTATTACCAAAACTAACAACTCCTAAAAAGCACAGGAAAGTTGAAAAGAATTTCAGAAAATTATCTTAAATTTGGAGAGTTTATTTGCACCAAACTGCAGATACTCTGACATTCTCTTAACTACATTACTGATTTAAATCAAAAAGGACTGTAATTCTTGTAAAGATTAGACCACTTTGCCAATGGCTGAGAAGCTTCAGAGAACTAATCAAACATTATTATATTATCTATTAAGAGTCTAGACGGTCTCGTCATCGCATATACTCTCACGTAAGTGCTATATTTTTCCTCTCTTTCCAGCATGTGATTTAGTTTTGGTGCCAGGTAAAAATAAAAGGAAGTAACCATAAGTTCTCCAGACAACAAGAAAAGGTGTACATTTTTTGTGATATTAAATTCACATTCCTGGTGTCCCTGAAAAATGAGAATGGTGATATAAAATAGAAAAGTATTACATTTTTACACAGTCAATCTGTCATTTAGCTACTCCAGCTTTTCATGGATTATAAAGTATCTGAGAACAGGCAATATTCCTACAGTGAATCTTCACATACCTCCAGCTTTAAAAGTAGGTATAATTTTAATAAAAACATGCCACATTTAAGAAGCTATTAGACACAGCACTGAAGTTTCCTTTGATTTGTGCATGAATGTGAGATGGCTGAAAATTTTAAAAGTATAGTTTTAAAAAGTATTTTCTTTACATTAAACTATCTTTTGTGCCTTAGTGTGATAACTTTAAAAAATATTAATGGTATCTCCTTTTATGATTAAATTTTTTATTCAACCAACTATACTCTAGAAAGATAATCTATGATTGTTAATGGAACATTTAAAATAATTATAATTTACTCAAATTCTCATTGGATAACAAATTTCGTAAATTTCTGAATAAATGTTTTATCTACTTCTATAGAACAATTTGGAGGAAATTAATTTAAATTTTTATATCAATAAAGATACTTACGCAGGTTTCATCGTATGTGCATGCTTTTCATGAATGAAGGCACCAGCAAGGGCTCCTGCTCCTGAATTTAAATACTGGATAGAGAAATTATATAAACATGTCTTTAAAATCTATATGACAAAATTAAAATTTGAAATATTTCAGGAACCAAAATTTATACCAGTAGAACATATTGACTTATTTTAGTTATTATTGTTATTTTTCTATTTAGCTATCATTTGAGGACAAGACCTGCTGTTCAAACATGAATGTAATGTGGTAAATGACAAATGATTAATAAATGAAAAAGTAGATTAGAGAAAGAATACAAAAATTAATTTTTGGCAAATTTAATTAAGAAAATAGATTATTAGGGATTAATTAAGCATAGTTAATTTTGCAAATAGCATGTCCTCCTGCTAACATAATCAAATTTCTACATGTAGCAGAATAGTGGGCCTGGTTTTTTTCCTGGTAGGCCAGGAAAAACTGATGGATATAATTGAGCTAGGCTTTAGTAATCCATTTTTTATCCCATCTGATATACTTGACAATAAATGGAAAATAGTCTGGACAGAACTATAAAGTATTTTTAGATATATTCAAATAATTGAGGTAACTATGCTCTCTAGGGGCTCAAGGAAACTTAAATTTCATCTTAATTCTTCATTTTACTTTTCATATGAGTGTAAACAGACACTCAGACTAACTTTCCTTGAGAGCATAGAAAGGCTCCTGGGACCTAGATGCACAGACTTTTTTGAATTTTAGTTCTCATGGACAGTTGTCATCCCCTATCCTTCTAGCACACAAGCACACAACACACACACACACACACACACACACACAAATACACACACACACAAGGATCTTGAGATCCTGAGACTGTGGATGGGCATCTGCAGGGGATGCTGAGCTGATAGTGGGGAGTGAGAGTTCAGAGGATACTGAGCTGAGGTACCCGAGTGCAAGATTTAGTTTATTTTTGAAGTGAGATAAACACAGACACAGCAGCTCAACAGTGTTCAGAGACAAAAGAGCTCCTGAAGATGTTTTGTGATTGCAGATTCAAAGACTAGAGGCTAGGCTTTATAGACTTGTCAATAGTGGTCACAAATTCTAATGGCTATGCTGGATTGGGCTAGTTATTGATTGTTGTGTCTAGAGTTCAGCTCAATTCATCATTCCCACTCCCCTATTCTGAGGCCTACATGAATTTCCATCATGATTTCTCCACTTTTTAAACTGTTCTTAATTCTCAATTTGTTTCCATCTGAAAACTATAAGTAACCATATCTTCTATGTGATTCATGTCCGTTATTAACATTGCTGGAGAGGGGATTGTGATGGAGGGAGGCAATGAGTAGCTTTTATAGCACAGAACTAAACAAGACAGAGATTTGCAAAGATTAGTAGAGATTGCAGAGATTAGTACAAAAGGCGAGATCTATTTCTTTATTAGAGACTGAGTCAGATAAGAGAGAATCCTATGGTTTTGATTTATCAGTAATTTTTATAAGCTCCTAAATATCAAATAACAAAAATAACAACAAAACTCACTGTTCACAACCATGTACTTTAAGCTAATGAGCCATGGGTCTAAGGAGGCCCAATAAAACTTACTAAAAGGCCTGACCCTTTATTTGGAGTCAGATAGGCTGTATGCAGATTTGAAGGGTCTATAAAGGTCTTTTCTTAGGCAGTTCAAAGACCTCCCTCAAAGTGCAGGCATTGATTAGGGAAAGTCACAATCCTGCTGCTAACTAAGGGAAGAGCTGGGAAAGAATCTGACTTACTCACAAAATTCCAACTATGTGAGGCAGGAAAATAGGAGTGCATCTTTCTTTTGCTTTGCCTTTCCACGTAAACCTCCACACCTTAACAGCTATCACCATCTTCTGGTTATAGACATCAATCAAATATATAAAATAATTGATTCTTTGATTTGGCCCTCAAAACATGTCAGCAGCATCATAATCTGATAAACGACTTGGAGGAAAATAAGATAACTTCATTTCCTTGTTACAATTCCTAGCAAATATACCCATGGCATATTGCTCATTTGTTAATAAATCATTTGATTTCAATAAGTTGGAAAAAGAAACATTGAATTTTTTTCCATTTTTTTTATCAATTAGAATCAAGATGCCAATTTGTCAAGATTTTTCTTAAACATTAAAGAGCCTCTAATCTAGCATTGTAAACTAAGAATTTGAAAAAGAAAAAAATCCTTTTGTTTTTTGGTGGGATTGCTATTGTCTTGCTAGCTACTAATTGTTTCTATGGTAGATAGAAACTATGAAAGAGTATTTTTTTTTAACAAACATAATATTGGCTTAAAAAAGGAAATGTAAAAATAGAAGACAATAAAAAGCAAATCTTTAAAATTTTGCAAAAAGATCCATTTTTAATTTCAATGATTCTAATTGAAATTAATGTTGCTTTAAAACAAAATACCAATTCTGACATAGGTAATAAAGTTATAGAGTTTAAGTTCCATTGTCATCTCTGTTAAAGTCAGATCACCATAGAAGTACCAGCAGATTTATTCCATTTCACATCTATTTGTTGTCCTTTTGTCAGATTCATCTACATATTATCTTTGTAGGGGTGATCTGTCTTATCTGGGTCTGCCACATATTTATGTTACTTAACCTCAAATGGGCCGTCACTGTTGCTAGGCAATCAATCCTTTTATGCCTCTGTAATTAACTCTCTATTCCATTCAACACAGGCTTTTCCAAATTTTTCATCCCTCCTCAAAATTCCTGTGTCCATCTCTCATACATTCCCACCTCCACCACTCTGCTAAGAAGCTTGCCTCATATTTTATTGAAAAAAATTGAAGTCATTTAACAAGAACCCTCTCTTTTCACCTGCTTATTTCACAGCACTCAGATGCCTTCTGCCATTAACTCCTCTTTCACGCCTGTCTGACATGATAAAGTGGCACTTCTCTGTCCTAATGGCAACAAGTGATCCCTGTGTCCTCTAGTATATTACCACTTCTGTCACCACCACTCTGTCAATTTGTTTCAATCAAAATTTGCCTTCTCATTCTCTCATCCCAACCACTCCTTCCCAAAAGATTGGGAATTAAGAGGAAAGACTTCCTGAGGAAGGTGAGATTTTAGCTGGGACTTGAAGGAAGCTAGGGAAACCAAAAGGAATAGTTGAGGATGGAGAATGTTCCAGGCTCAGCAGACAGCCAGAAAAAAAAATGCCTAGAGTTGGGAGATGGAGTTTCTTTTTTGAAGAACAGCAGGGAGGCCAATGTCACTGCGTCACAGAGGTGAGCTATAAGAAGACTGGAGAGACAAGATGTAGTCCATAAAAACATTTATACATTGGCTACATCCAAAAAAAATTTTCTTTCATTCTGCATTCTGAGTCCTTCATATCTATCAGGACATAGATAGCATGTTTTATCATCTCTGGAATTGTGAGTGGTTGTTACTCTAGCAAGAGTTCCTAATTCTTTCAAAATTGCTTGTTTTCACCATATTGTCATTATATAAATTGTTCTCCTGTTTCACTGTGCATCAGTTCATGTAAACCTTTGCAAATTTTTCTTCTAATCATTTCTAATAGCACAATAGTATTCCATCACATTTATTAACTATAACTTGTTCATCTATTATCCAATTTATGGGCAACCTCCCAACCTTAGATTCCTATTCTTTGTCTCCTCAAAAAGAGCTAAAAATGTTATTGTATATTGTTAAAGTTTGTTTTGCTCAGGACTAATCCCTCCATTAATCTACTCTTCCTATAATTCCCCCTCCCCCTTTTCCTTATTTTTTTTTCCTTTTGGGTGAAATACATTTCTGTACCCAATTTTGTGTGTGTATTCTTTCTTTCAACTAGTTCAGAAAAGAAAGAGGTTCAAGTGTCAACTGCTTCCCCTACTCCCACCTCCTTATTGAACAGGTGTATACTTGTGCCTCCTTATTATAAGGGTGAGATAATATTCCCAAGTTCCTCACCCTGTTTCCATAGTATTGCTTTTCCTCCTCTTTCCTATTCTTAAGATCACCAAGATGTAACAGAACCACTCCCAGACCTTGTCTAATTAGATTCCCTAGTGATTCCTGATGTTGACAGGGTTCAGCGTGGATATAATGTATCATCCCCCCACATTTGAATGTAAGCTTTTTACCCTTATTCGTTCCTTTATTGCTTTTCATTTATATTTACCTTTTAATGTTTCCTCTTAGTCTTTTAATTAGAAATGCTTGAAAGACTTCTATTTCATTAAATATCTATTTCTCCCTCTGGAGCATTACACTCAATTTTGCTGGGTAAGTTACTCTTGGAAGTAAGTCTGTATCCTTTGCCTTCTGAATATTACATTCCAAGTTTTCTGCTTCTTTATAATGGTGGCTAAGTCATGTGTGATCCAGACTGTGACTACTCAGTACTTGAGTTCTCTCTTTCTGACTACTTGCAGTTTTGTTTGTTTGTTTGTTTTTATTTGATCTGGAAATTTTGGATTTTGACTATGATGTTCCTAGGAGTTTTCATTTGGAGATTTCTTTCAGAAAGTGAATGGTGGATTCTAATTCCATTTTACCCTCTGGTTCTAAGAGATATGGGCAATATTTTTTCAAGATTTCTTGAAATATGATGTTTAGGGTTGGGGTTTTTGTTTATTTGTTTGTTGTTCTTGGAGTTCAGACAGTCCAAGTATTTTTAATTTTTTTCCTTGATCTGCTTTACAGGTCAGTTACATTTTCTATAAGATATTTTTCATTTTCTTTTATTTTTTCAGTCTTTTGACTTTGTTTTAATATTTCTTGTTGTCTTATGGAGTCATTGGCTTCTATTTGATGCATTCTAATTTTCAGGATGTTTGTTGCTTAGGTAAGGTTTTGTAACTCTTGTGCCAATCTGTTAATTCCTTTTTCAATTCTTTCTTTCATAGCTCTCATTTCTTTTCTATTTTAAATACTCTCATTAAATTTTTAAAATTTTTCTATTTTAAACTCTTGTTTTATTTCTTCCAGGAATTCTACTTGAATTTTTATCCAACCTGTTTTTTTTTTCTCTGAGTCTTTGCTTATAAATGTTTTGGAGTCATTCTTTTCAGGTTTGTTTCTTGAGGTTCCCTGCTGCCATATTAACACTTTATAAGGGTTTCTCCTTTTTTCTTATTCTTCCAGCCTACTTTCTGACTTCAGTCTTGATGTTAGGGCTATACTCTGCTGCACTTAAGGAGGGAAGATCTGGGTTAGTCCTGTTGCTGCTTTCTTGGGGATATTGAGTGTTGTGTAATTCCAGGATATCAGGGAAAGTCTAGGGATCTGCAAGCTTTCAGTACTCCCATAGTGATCTGATAGAGGACAAAGACAGATTGCTGCTCCCAAGTCTGAGTCCTGCAAGTTGCTGACCTGGGTTTGGGTCTGAGCAACAATATAATACTATTTGATTAAGCCCTTAACACCCAGTAGGAAAACTCTTTTGGGTCAGAGTTACAGATTTGTAGGCTTCAAGTTTGTTTGGAGATTTCTGCCCTGGTTATTCTTCTACAGGTCAAGCTAGATACTGGAACTGAAATCCTGATCTCCCAGGGTCTGAACCACACCACTGCTACTTGCTTCTGAACTATTTTCTTCCTTGATAAACTGCCCAGGGTTTCTCTACCTGGGAATATCAACCCTTTTCATAGGTCTCTTTCTTAGTCTATCCTGTATCTATGACCCATAACTGGGTAATGGGTGACAAAACTACAAGTTGGCACTTGTCCTTCTTGCAGTACTCCAGGACTAGTGGTTCCCTAGTTTGGATCTGGGAACTCCTTTTGCCCTGGTGCACTGCCTCTCCCTAGGTGCTTGAGAGTTCATTTCCTGATGCCATGCTGAGCTGGAAAAATGACTCACTGTGACTTTTTCTGGATTTCCTCATATGGAGAAAAATCACATACATTTTCTAGATCTGCTTGGAGGCATTTTGTGGAGGGAAGTGTGGCTATACTACTTACCACTACTCTGTCATCTTGGCTCTGCCCCCTCTCACTTATCTTCAGTAAGTACCTCTCCATTTGTGGCTTCCTTCTTGCCTACATACATGTCTCCATCTCCCCCATCTTCAAATGACCCTCACTAGACTTATCCATTACTACTATCATTACATATCTCTCTTATATTTTGCAGTTATACTTCTTGAAAAGGCCATCAATAAATAGGTGCCTCTACATTCTTTCCTGTTACTTTTTCATTAACTCTCTATGCTAATTAAGCTGCAATTATCTTTATTATAGCCTACTTCCAACCTCATCATTCAGCTGAAACTGCTCTCTCCAATGATCTCTTAATTGCAAAATCAAATGACCTTTTTTTCAATTCTCATCCCTCTTGACCTCTCTATAGCCTTTGATACTGTCAAATATCCTATTCTCCTTGATATTTTCTTCTCTCTAGTTTTTTGGAATCCTGTTGTCTCTTGGTTCTCCTGCCTATCTAAACACTGTGTCTCCGTCTTTGCTGGATCTTTATACAGGTCACATTTCCTGGATCCTCTTCTCTTCTTCCTCTATCCTATTTCATTTGGTGATATCATTGGCTTCCATGTACTCAATTTCCATCTCTATGCAGATAATTCTCCATTTTACTTATACAGCCCCAACTTTTCCATTCACGTCTAGTCTCATAATTCAAGTACCTATAAGACACTCAGATGGGATGCTCTGTAGATAAAAGATGTGGGCATCTTAAACTTAACATATCCAAAATTAACTCATGATCTTTCCCCCTCAAACCTTCCTCATTTCAAACTTCCCTAATACCTTTGAGGATACTGCTATCCTACCAGGCCCCCATACTCCCTACCTAGGTGTTATTCTTGACTTCTCAATATATCTCATCCTTCAGATTCAATTTGTTGCCAAAGTTTGCTGATTTTACCTTTGTATCATCTCTAAAATATGCCCCCTTCTCTCCTCTGATACTGCCACCATTCTAGTGTAAGCCCTCATCTCCTCACATATGAACTACTGCAATATCCTGCTGGTTGGTTTGCCTAACAAAATCTCTCCCTACTATAGTCTATTATCCACTCAACTGTCAAAGTGATTTTCCTAAAAACACAGGTTCAACCATGTCACCCATCTATTTATACCCCAGTGGCTCCCTATCAACTCTAGGATCAAATATAAAATTCTCTGCTTGGCATTCAAAGCCATTCATAACCTGGCCTCCCTACATCTTGTCTCTCTAGTCTTCTTATAGCTCACCTCTGTGATGCAGTGACATTGGCCTCCCTGCAGTTCTTCAAAAAAGAAACTCCATCTCCCAACTCTAGGCATTTTTTTTTCTGGCTGTCTGCTGAGCCTGGAACATTCTCCATCCTCAACTATTCCTTTTGACTTCCCTAGCTTCCTTCAAGTCCCAGCTAAAATCCCACCTTCCTCAGGAAGTCTTTCCTCTTAATTCTACCGCCTTCTTTCTGTTATTTCCTATTTATCCTGTATATAGGTTGTCTATATATAATTGTCTTCATGTTGTCTTTCCCATTAGGTTGTGAGCTCCTCGAGGACAGCGACTAGTTTTTGCCTTTCTTTGTACCCCTAGAATTAACACAATCCATTACATATAGCATAAGCTTAATACTTGTTTATTGGATAAGTGACTGAATCTAGATACCCCATAAGTTTATTTTCCCTTCAACTACTTTTCGTCATTTTGTTGTTATACTACTTATAATTTTCCAATTCAATCCAACTCTGCAAGTATTTATTAAATACCTAATATGCAAAAATGACTATGTGAGGTGCTGGAAATACAAAAGCTGCTAGGTGGTGCAATGCATGAAGTGTTGGAATACTTAGAGTCAGGAAGACCTGAATTCAAATTCTACTTCTGACAATTATGAAATCTTGGACAAATTACATAACTTCTATTGGCCTCTGTTTCTTCATGGGATAATAGTAGCTACCTCATAGAAAATGGTTGTGAGGATTAAAATAATTAACATACGTAAAATGACTTGCAAACCTTAAAGCCTTCATAAATGCTAGTTATAGCAAAAAACAATTTTTACCCTTAAGGGGTTTATATTTTACTTATGGGATCAACATGTAAACAGATAAGGATGTACGCTATGGCTTGAAGAAAAGAGAGAGCCTTAACAACTAAAGGGTTCAGGTTAGATTTCCTACAGAAAGTGACATATAAACTGAGACTTGAAGGGAATCAAGCAAGGATTCTAAGTGGTATTGGTGAAAAGAGTGCATTCCAGTCATGGAATTCAGCTTGTGCAAAAGCCCAAAGGATGCTAGTCCTACATTTCGGAACATTAAATAGGATTTTTTCTTCATTTGGTTTTGTGCTTTTGTTTTTTGCTTTTTAAGCACAGTGTGTTAAGGGGAATCATAAGACAAGACTGGAAAGGTAGCTGGAGTAAATAAATGAAAGCCTTAAACTGCCAGCTTAAGGAGTATGTATTCTTTTCTAGAGATAAAATGAATCTACCAATTTATTGAACAGGAGCATGCAGTCAGACTTACTTTGTAGGATGATCTTTCCCTCTTAAATATATTTGAAGTGTTTTAATAACAAATATTAGTTTTGATCATAAAAACACACATTTATATTCTGCCATTCTTGTCTGTAATGTTTTACAAATAAGCTTGTATTCTATACTGGTGTGGTCTTTGATCTGTCTACTGTATCTTCTCCACATTGAAAGGTGTTTGCTGGTTAAGGAAGTTTCTGGTTTTTTTTCTATGCTCCTCATCATGGCAAATGTTTATGCTATTTAAGCTGCAAATATCTTTTTTGTGGCCTGTTTTATACATCATGAACACTGCAAGATGAGATGACTACAGGTCCTATTAATAGCATTTCTTAATGGTTTTTGATGCATGATGAAACCAGCTCGTTTATTCACTTCTCCCATGAGAACTTATGTGAGCCTTACTTTCATTTATCTTCAACTCTTTGTGTCCTCTAGTTCTATTTATGGTTAGAATGTCAGCATGGATGTTGCTTACTTTCTTTTGTAATGGATCAACTTGTTGGTCATAAATTAGGAGTTCCAAATAGGTTTCAACATATTACCAGTCATTTATTGTCCATGACAATCAATGTAAAAGATATCATCAAGAATACTCATGACACAAAAAAGAGGCTGATCCTGTAGGAAGAATGAGTTATAAGAGATGGACGGACTGGCTGCTCAACTGGTATTCCTGAAATATTGAAATATCTATGGAATATTAAAACAAATAGATGAATGCCTCCATTGCAATGAATAAATACTCAAAGGAGCAATATTCCAAATATAAGAACAAGAGTTGTACAGGAGGAGATGATGTAGCTGTGTGGGAAGTTGGGGTGGAAGCTGGGGAAAGTAGTTACTTTGACACTTTGACGAGAGCAAGGACCATTTGAAGCATATATTTAAAATCAAAGGATTTAAATAAACCAAGCATTTTTTTTTTTTTACCTTGTAGGAACACCAGCAGGCAAAATCTACTCCCCAGTCATGTAGATGAAGCTCAACATTACCAACTGCATGGGCCAGATCGAAGCCAACAAAACAACCCTGGGGTAAAATACAGGATATTATTAATTTGTTTAAAGCTTAGGCAGAGTGAGTACAGAACTCCTTAATATCTTTTGAAAACTTTTCATGCCATAAAATGGGTTAGTCAGATTTTTTTAAAAAAAGATCTAAACATTAGGATACTTTCGTAGTTGCAAACTGTGCTAATTGGGGGAATATTACTAAGGATGAGATATAATCAAAACATTAAAGAAAAGTGACCTGAAAGGAATAATTTTTTCTGATGTATTACCCACTTGTTTACTAATCTATATTGTTTCATCTGTATTGTTTTGTTTTGCCAGTTAGACTATAAGCTAGCTCAGTATAGGAACTTTTTCTTAATACTTTTCTGTTACCTTCTACAGAGCCTGGGTCAGTTTTGAAAGAAAAGAATGCAGTCAATAAATGATTAATTACATGGCTTACTGGGAAAAATGTACTAAAAATGAGCCCTGAAACCCAGGTTCTAGTCCTCACTAGAGCACTTACTAGCATTGGAACGTTTGTTAAATCACTTAGGCTCTCGTAGCCTCAGTTTCCTCAGCTATAAAATGGGAAAAACAATTTCTCTTTTTTCCTGCTTTACAGTTGTTATATGCATCAAATTATTAAATCTAGGTGCAAACACTTTATAAACTGTAAAACATGTAATTCTTATTTAAATAATGACTAAAGTATGGTGCTTACAAAAAGAGAGTCCATAACAAAAACTATTTTAATATTCTGCATCTGTTATACAAAATACATATGAATCAAAAAGTATAGTAGCTATGCTTCTACTATATGTAGGTCAGAAATATGAAAATCTGAATTTCTAAATCAAATATATTAGAATGATACTTTGAATTACATAAACTCTGAATATATCCTGTATGTACCTATTTACTTTTTCTCCTTCATTAGATTGTAAATTCCTTGAGGACAGGGACTCTATGCCTTTCTTTCTATCATTAATGCTTAGAAAAATGCCTGGAACATAGTAAATGCTTGCTATATACTAATTGGATGTTACAGAAAGATTATATTTACAAATATTTAATTCTCATTTAACCTCTAAGGAATATTGCTCTTTTTTAAGTATCGGCTTATTTGGAGGAACAAAATGTCTAGAATATTGAGAGTAAAAATGAAAAAAAAAGTGGGAAGAAAGAGTATCTATCAGTACCAAAACTCAAATTTTACCACAAAGCAATAATCATTAAAAGTTTGGCACTGGTTAATAATCAGCCAATAAATATTTATTAAACACCTACTATGTGCTAAGCATTATGCTAAACACTAGGGGTACAAAAAGGGGCAAAAGACAGTACTTGCCCTCAAGGAGTTTACAATCTAAAGGGTTGATCAATGGAGCAGATTAGACAGAAAAAGAAGAGAGTCAAACAAATTCAACAGCATAGTTTTGCTAAACCCAAAGATGCCAGTCACTGGGGAAAAAGACTCACTATTTAACAAAAATTTCTGGGAAAACTGGACAAGAGTCTGGCACAAATTAGGACCCAACTTCTCACACCACATACTAAGATAAGCCCCAAATGGTTACATGGCAGATTTAAAAAAAGTCACATCATCAACAAATTAAAGAATAAAAGAAAAAAGTGTCATTTTCATCCTCACAAGATCCCTGAACTATGCCTCATGCTGGCGGCTAAGGAACAAACCTGGTCATAGGGCAAGGCTAAGAGGAGCCCTGAACAAAAAGCTGGTACAGGCTGAGGATATGTGGAAAGGCTTCCCTCAATGGTATAGACAGGCTATCCCCAAAATCTTAGTTTTAAGCTATAGTAGCTTAGCACAATTTTAAACTATAGTAGCTTAAAACTAGGACACCCCATATTTTCATCTAGCTACTTTCCTGTTTATTTTTATTTTATTTTATTATTAGTTTTCAACAATACTTCCATAAGTTTTTGAGTTTTAAATTTTCTCCCCCTCTCTCCTCCTCTCCCTCCCTAAGATGGCGTGCAATCTGATATAGGCTCTACATATACATTCTTTTAAACATATCTTCACATTAGTCATGTTATAAAGAGGAATTAGAACCAATGGGAGGAACCACAAGAAAAAGGAAACAAAACAAAACAGAAGAAAAAAAGAGCAAATAGTATATTTTGATCTGCATTCCAACTCCATAGTTCTTTCTCTGGATGTGGATAGCATTTTCCATCATTAGACTTTTGGAGATGACTTGGATCCTTGCATTGCTGAGAAGAACTAAGTCTAATAAAGTTAGTCATTGCACAACGTGGCTGTTACTGTTTACAACGTTCTCCTAGTTCTGCTCACTTTACTCAGCATCAGTCCATACAAGTCTTTCCAGGTTTTTCTGAAGTCCACTTGCTCGTCATTTCTTATAGCACTGTAATATTCCATTACATTCATATACCACAACTTGCTCAGCCATTCCCCAATTGATGGGCATACATTCAATTTTCAATTCATTGCCACCACAGAAAAAGCTGCTATAAATATTTTTGTGCATGTGAGTGCTTTTTCCCATTTTTATGCTCTCTTTGGGACACAGCCCTAGAAGTGCTATTACTGGGTCAAAGGGTATGTACATTTTTATAACCCTCTGGGCTTAGTTCCAAATTGTTCTCCAAAATGGTTGGATCAGTTTACAACTCCACCAACAATGTATTAGTGTTCCAATTTTCTCACATCTTCTCCAACATTTATCATTTTCCTGTTTTGTCATGTTAGCCAATCTGATGGGTGTGATGTTTTGATTTGCATTTCTCTTAACAATAGTGATTTAGAGCATTTTTCATATGACTATGGATAGCTTTAATTTCTTCATCTCAAAACTGCCTGTTCATATACTTTGACCATTTATCAATTGGGGAATGACTTGGAATACTTCTCTTTTTAAAAGTGGAATATACCACTTTATTTTAATCAAAAAACTTTTCTACAATGTCAAAATGTAGAAACACTAAAAATTTTATTGATGATAGAAAAATTGATTACTTTCTTTCATTTTTATTATAAATCATTTGTGGGCAGTGGTTCTTTGGGGAATGAAAATATAAATGTTCTATTTTTTAAATCCCTCACCTCTGTGGCATTACATTTTCTTTGACATTCATTAACACTGATATGCAATGTGTTGTAAGATGCACATAACTTTTCTTCCCACATGAGTAACTATAAACATAAATCTAATTAAAATTTGACTAATCTGACAAAATTAGAGGTTACAACCTTGTAGCTGGAAGAGTCTTAGATTGGGATTCAAGAGACCTAACTTCAAGGCCCAGCTCAGCCACTGACTTACTGTGTTTTCTTGGTTCAGTAACCTCTCTGGGCCTTACTTTTCTCATTTGCAAAATGAAGGAGTTGAACTCAATTATCTATAAGTTCCCTTCTAGTTTTTATCTTCTTTGAGTCTGAGACATGTGTAACTACTCTTACTTTTTTATCAAAGAGAATGATCCCCAAATTTGAGAGTATGGAACAAAAAGAATTAAGAGTGAATTGAAAGGCAAGACAAAGAAAAGACACAGTAAAGCAGTTCCTCTTAGCTCTCAGTGAATTAAAGTCAACTGGCCTGAAAAAATTTAATCCTAAGGAACTGAAAGTGAAGGTTCAGTTTCATCTGCCTTTCCCTAAATGAAAAAGAAGCCACAGGGAGGCAGTATTTGACTTAATGAGAAAAAAAAAATCTTAAGAATCAGAGCTACAAATTGCATAGGCTCCTTCTGCAGGTGGTATATTCTCCATGACTAATGAAATTCAGGCAGAGGTTGTATGTCCACTGCTTATGTGTATTGTAGAAGGGATTCACACTTCAGCTACAGGGTTCAACTACATGATTTCTGAGATTTTTTCCAACTCAGATTCTATATTTTTATGAGAGCATGGTGTATGAAACTTGAAGTGAAAAAATTAACAGGCTATTCACAAAAATTTCACTAGATGGCAGCATTTAAAAATGTTTCCCAATGAAGTCACTTTAGAGAAGTATCTAGTTAAAGAAAAATGATAATGCCATTTCTGCACGGAGTGCCAGTTATATATTATTTTCATAGTTTATAAAAGAAACTGGAGTCATTTTACACATTGTACAATATGATTAAATTGAACATTTTAAAAAGCTATGATTTCTAAATTGATTTTTATCACTAACACACAAGAAACTTCAAATAAGTTACCCTGACCATACATTAGTGTTTATCACCATCATCAACACTTGTTTTATAATCCAAATGTGCCCATCTCAGCTTTTTCTATTGAAATATAAATTCCTACTAATATTATTGAGTTTTCTGTCAACCAATAAAAACCTAAAAAAGTAATATTCAAAGAGCCTATTTTCTTGCTGTTTTGTATATGATATGCAGAAGTAATGTCTTTCAAAATGTGCTATTTACAAAAAAGAATTCATCATTGTCCATATTCAGTTTAAATTAACTCCCTGTGTACAATGTAGCTGCCTCTCATTGAAATTCCAAAACTTTTAAACTTTTTTATGTTTTATTTCCCTTCAGTACTAATGTTATATACTGTTATGTCAGTACATAATTATAGCCTATACTAGAAGTACTAAATACTGGGTTATAACTATGGTTTCTTCACCAAATCATTACTTCATCAACTGATTTCTTCATATTTTTAAAAATTATTTAAAAATTGTCTAATATAGGAAAAGAAACAAGTCTATGTGTATGATATCCTGAAAACTTTTACTAATTTTTTTAAGGATGAAAAAACTTTTTTTTTAATTAAAATGAATCATGGTGTCACCCTGGCCAAGTCACTTAACCTGTGTCTACCTGAGTTTCCTCATCTATAAAATGGTGATAATAATAGCACCTACCTTTCAGGGTTGTTGTAAGAATCAAATGAAATAATAATTGTAAAATGCTCATTACAGTAGTAAGCACTATATAAATGTTAGCTTTATGATCATCACCACCATCATCATCAACGTAGGCCTGGACTACTATGTACCAAGAGAATTAATTTAGTACCTATATACTAACAGAACTATACTT